TGTCCACTGCTGTTGTGTCATCTGGCAGGTTGTTGTTGTGAGTATAAGCTGATTTGTAGAAATTTTCACCAACAAATGACTTTCTCCAAGCTGTAAATGTCCAAAGGAGAAATGTTTGTGTTCAGAACCAGAAAGTATAGACAGAGGAGGGGTAAAATTATGTGATTAAGTGTAATTCCTTTCACAGACATTCCTAAGTCTTTCCTTTGCGTGATGGAGTTGCTTAAACGTATTTTCACAACACTCGGCTTCCCAGAGAGACGGGCAGGCTAACGCAGTAAGATGCTGCAAGAGACACTAGTCACGATTTTGTGACTTCAAGTTGACTATAAAAGGATTGGTCTGTTGACAACTGTTGTGCCATAATTATTGGGAAACCTTTGGGAAATCATGGATTAGCTGATCAACGAAAGAAACTGCGTCATAATTATTCTTTAAAACTGGCTTGTGCAATGGAGTTATAATTTGTTGATGGTTAATTGGACATAGACACTGCAGTAAGGGTAAGGAGAAAGAAAATGAAAACAAAGATCTGCTTTAATTTAATCACAGAAGTCTTTCTACTTCATTCAACACCCACATGTCTAGTATTATAACTTGTCAGGATTTGTTTGAGTAATGCAAAGTGTCACTTTGAAAGCCTCTGTTTCTACAAACTAAATGCAATGTTTTATTTTTATTGGGCCTCTTCCTGTGCCGTCCACTGTTTCAGATACCCGGGGAAACCTACTGATTGTTGCTCTTTTCCTGTTTAGGCTGTGCAATCATCTCTTAATTTTCCTGGGATATTTCATACCCAGTTCCAGAAAGATTGGCTTTAGAATGAGGTTTCAGGAAGCAAATCTAAATTATCTTTAAAAAAAAAAGAAAAAAAAAGAAACCCTCCCTGTTGCCTGTTTATCATATCTGGCTTATTGGGAATCTTTAAATTGGCTGGAAGATGTATCTTCATGTGAATTATGAAAAACATATATTCAAGATTGCATGTTATCCATCATGTATTTCTCAGCTGACTGAGAAAATGTATTATCATGTCATGAAATTGCATATAAATAGGCTGTTAATCTTTATTTCTCACCCCTAACCTACTCCTTGTATGTTTTGTAAAGGTCATCATGCCTCCAACAACGCCATATGCTGGGAAGTTCAGCTCCTGCGTCCCTTACAGCAGCAATGCCAACCACCAACAACCTACCAGCCCGTACCGGAGCAGCACTGTCCCGAAACCTGCGAGGGAGAACATCTACAACGGCGCCTACTCTGTTGGAGAGAACCCCTACGACATACCTCAGCCTCACAGCGGGGCTTATCGGAGCGCCTCTGTCTCCTCTGTGAATGCGAAGGAGCATCATTACACCAGCTGCGCTCTGTCTGAAAACCCATACTCCTCGCCGCAGCCTCACAGCCCTCGCCAGCACAGCACTTCCTGTCCAGGCCGCGCACATCGTCACACGAGCGGCAGCAGCGGCAGCAGCAGCGACCAGTCCTGTCGTAACAACAACAACGTAGCTGCGGCGAAAGCGCGGTTTTACGGACACGGCGTCACCACCAGCTACGGGGAGATGTGTTACCATGACAATAGCTTGGTGTCTGCATCTCTTGAGGCTCTGATCCAGCACCTGGTTCCCACAGTGGACTACTACCCTGACGTACGTTACAGGAAACATGGTCTTTTTGTGAGAAACAAAGTGGTCTAGAATAGACGAGTTGAGTCTGAGAAAAGAGGTCGGCTGTCCTGGCTGTGTTGACCTTTCTCTTCTTGTTCTTTCCTCCTCATCAGAGGTCGTATGTGTTCACTTTCCTGCTGAGTTCACGCCTCTTCCTGCCCCCCTACGAGCTCATGACGAGGGTTTGTCACCTGTGTGTGGAGCAGCAGCGGTCTGGAGATGCCCTGCTGGATAAGGTGGGCTGGCAACACACACAAACACACACAGGGCTATAATTTGCTTCTCTTCTCGTCACACTCACTCTCTGCTCCCACACAACCTTCCACCCACTATAAAATCCACAAGCTCTCTCACCCACATGCTTCTTTCTGAGAGAAAGTATTTATCTGCTTTTTTTTCCCCAAGCAAATAAAATCCAGGCAAGGGAACACTCGGAAACAGAAACTGCAAAGATAAAATAAATAATGGCAGAATATGCTCTTAGAAAAGCAGCGAGCTGTGGCTACTCTTGTGTGTTTTAAAAGATATGAGGGCCATGCCATTTAGATTATTGACCAGAGAGAGATTTACTCATAAGATAAATCAAATCATGTCTGCCTGAGTGTCACTTAGTGCGCCATCTGATGGTTTTCAGATTCGTTTCCGTGAGGTGGCCCCTAAGCTGGTGCAGCTGCTGACCGAGTGGACTGAGACGTTTCCATACGACTTCAGGGACGAGAGGATGATGCGCTGCCTTAAAGACATGACGCTTCACGTGGCCCGAGGGGACGAGGTTAGCGTTCAGAGCTCCTGTAGTTAAAACTTCTCATGCAATGAATTTGCAATAATTCAACATAAATATCTCAAGTTCATTCACACCTCCCTGTCATAGTTTTCATTATTTGTGCTGTCTGTGTCACGCTGCAGTACTCTTGGCGAGCCATGCAGCAGATGACCCAGCGTCTTATCAAACGCCTCTCTGCCCTCGGCCAATACGAGGAGGCTGTGGCTGCGCTCAATGCGGCGGCAATGGAGCGTCCCGCTTCCTTGAAGAGCAAGCAAGCATCAGCTCAGCGGAGCGACGTACTGAGCATGTGCGACGATCCCTTCGTCCTCGCCCAGCAGCTTACACACATTGAACTGGTAGGAAGTTGGCGTTAAAACTTAGGTGCCTGTGCTTATTATCGGATTCTGTAGAGAGAAATTGTTTTCAGTCCTTCGAAACACGTCTGTAGATTATATTAACGAGCTTTTATGATTGTCTGTCTTATGCTGTTGTCATTGTCTTAACTGTTTTTATGTTCTGTTTTCTGCCCTCAGGACCGACTGAGTTTTATTGGTCCCGAGGAGTTCATCCAGACGTTTGCCATGAAGGATCCTCTGGAGAACCATAAGGTACAATTGAGTTTGAATGAAAAAACGCTTAGCTTAGCTCTACCTCCAGCGTTTTAGATAGAGTTTTGGACAAGCAGCTCACAAAAATTCCCATCTTCTCACTCAGGAACTTGCAGGCTTAGGTTTACTTTTCATTTCATTATTTGCTTTTTTCCTTTTGAACTTCTACATGATAAAACTGGAGACATGAGGAGCTTGTGCAAAGTCATATAAATTAATCTCATTCCAGTCGCAATTAGCAGATAGATCTAACAGCTATGGCTTGCTGCGTGCAGCTTTACTGTGTAAAGACGGCTTGAAAACACAGTAACATGACCTCTTTATAATTATCAGCATCAAAGGACTGCAGACGATTGCAGTTATTTTGAGTCAATTTTTATTGTTTTGATTTGAAGTATATTCTGGGCCTGCTTTGGGTGTAATTTGTGGTCTGCTTCAGTTAAAGTAAATATGCTTTGGAAACCACATCAGAGAATCTACTGGCAGATAGATAACAATTTGTGCAGTGTTATTTTTAACATAGCTCAGACACAGTATGAAAAAGTCCTTTTGCATATGTCTAAGTGAATCTGAGGGACCTGTAAGTGAGCTGAAGGGTCGTATTCAATCACTGCTGCTGAGAACAAGTGCTCACCCACTGTTTGTAGCCGTGCTCCAACCAGTGCTGTGCCAGTTATATAAGACCCATTTTGTATAAAAGAGCAGTTGAGTCAGCGAAAGGGGTCCTGAAGTGTAGAAGGGGAAGTTTGGAGTGGAGTGGGCTGTCGCTGTTGTGTAAGCATTTAATAGAGCCATGAATCTCTGAGATTACATCATCACGGACAAGTCAAATTTATTTATACAGAGCTTTTATAATGTTTGTTTATATAAAAGGGCCTCTGAGAAACAAGTTCACCACAGAGTGTCCTTATAGAAAAAAAAACAAAAGGCACCAAAGTAGATGTAAATGAGATGAAAATAACAAGTAGACACGTCACAGGCTTCAGTGCAGGTCCAGAGGTTGTGTGGGTGTGAAGGCTGTCAGGATCCATTAGCAAAGGAAATTATAGAGGAGCAGCAGTCTGTCTCCTTCTATTTCTGATTTATAAAATAATTTATTGGCTAACCTTAAGAAGATTATGCTGATGATGCTGAATCTCGGGGAACAAATATTAATAGAAGACCAACAAGTAGCCAAAAGGTACAAAGGTACAAACATTAGCTTGACTGATATGAGGAAAAAGTAAAACAAAGCGGAAATTAAAATATAATTAAAGAATTGAGCAGACCTACCTCCAAGCAGAAACGTCAATAATAAAAGGGTATTTTATTAGATAATTAAAATAGATAAGATCTATAGAAAACATATATTTGAAAGATTGTTAAGTTTGTCTGTAGTTGAAGTTGTTGGCTGTCTGTGGATAAAAATTGTCAGTAAAAGAAAAACAGATACACAGTAACCAATTACTTTAGAAGCATGGAAAAAGCTGGAAATTGTTAGTTATGGCAGTATAACTAGCTTAGAGTATGAGTTGAATTATTAGCTAAAGATAATAGATAAACAGTGGATATAGCTCGCTAAGATTATGCTAAAAGGTGGAAATTACTAGCTAAATGTAAACTTAAATAGCTAGGTAAAATCTTGTATAAAAGAGTGTTGGTTAAAGCTGTGGATAACCTGTTGAAATTTTCAGTTACAGAAATTGATAAAATGCAAATGTTAATCATGCCTTAAATTTAAACAGAGGGCAAACATTAAAATAATAAGCCAATAGCTTTGGTTAAATGCCGCGGACCGTTTGCTAGCTAAAAATGATAGATGATGAGCTGAAAGTAGTACAGATATAATTTAACCTCCTAGGACCTGGCATCCACATATGTGGACATCACATTTTGGGTTATTTACACCAAAATACAAAATTTTGCTCTGCAAGGGCCTGATATCCACTTAAGAGGACATTATACTGCCACTGTTCTATCGAAATTTTAAACAAATATCCTCATATGTGGCTCTGATTTTTCTTAGAAGCAAAAATCAGGTAAAAAAAAAAAAATCTGGTTATTCTTTGTTTTTACATTCATCGAGTCCCAAAATGCCCAAATATCAAAGAGAAATTAAAAATGCATGCTGTGGAAGAGTTCGGGTCTTAGGAGGTTAATGTAAGTTCACATTTGAACGTGAGTGATGGAATTTATGAAGGTGTCAGAGCTTTAGGGGTCCATAAAATGAAAGAGATCTAAGTTCTAAGATCTCATTTAATTTCGAAATGGTCCTTTCTGTGACTCACAGTTTTAAATGTTTAACTTCTTTCAAAAATAATGAAATACAGACAGAAATGCACTCAGATCTAGACTTGTTCTTTGTTTTAATTATGCCATAATTTGTGTTTCAGGGTTTCTTTCGGAAACGTAAAACTAGCAACCTGGAAGCTTACGTCAGCTGGTTCAACAGACTGAGCTATCTTGTGGCCACTGAGATCTGTATGGTAAGTTGTTGTGATTCGTTTTGGACCAAGGAACGCCTTTGAATGCACAGCTGAACTACAAACCACTCTTAGATTCTTACTACACTCCAAAGGTGGATAATTTTGTACATATATTGAATTTGTACTGACTTGCTCTGTTTGTTCCCTCATTTAAGCCGATGAAGAAGAAACACAGAGCGCGGATCATAGAGTTCTTCATCGATGTTGCTCAGGAGTGTTTCAACATTGGAAACTTCAACTCTCTCATGGCCATCATCAGTGAGTATTTGATGCCACACATACAGCTTGTTGGATCGATCTGACCCGTAAGTGCTCTGCATTTACTCACCCTTTCTCTGTGTCCAGCTGGGATGAACATGAGTCCTGTCGCCAGACTGAAGAAAACCTGGAATAAAGTCAACACGGACAAGTTTGAAATTCTGGAGGTAAGGACAATTGGCATGCAGCAGTGAATCCTGTGTAGTGTAATGTAAACTTAAGATTTCAAGTTGCTCAGGATTTCAAACCCTCACCATGTGCAAACTTTAAGCATGCCCACACGGATTTGCGTTTGATGGCCATCTCTTGTGTGTGCTCTCATTCAGCACCAGATGGACCCATCCAGTAACTTCAGTAACTACCGCACTGCGCTCCGCGGTGCTACCCAGAGGTCTGAGACCGCACACAGCAGCCAGGAGAAGGTGAGAGAGCACCCAGGATTTACTCTGAAAATAAAAAGCTCCAGGTGGTGAATGTGTACATAAATGACCTGGTGTGTTTCTCCTCCAGATTGTGATTCCTTTCTTCAGTCTCCTCATTAAAGACATCTACTTCCTGAATGAAGGCTGTGCCAGTAGGCTGCCCAATGGACACATAAACTTTGAGGTTAGGACACATTTCAGAAGATGATGTTGTTTAAATGATTAAAAACGGTCAGATTTGTAGCAGTACAGGTTCAGGCTTTTACATGTGATGTTGTGACTCCCCCTTGTGGCTAAAAAGAGCAATGCATTTTCCTTCATGATGCTTTTCTTTCATCTGCCCATTATAATCTATTGTACAATCTGTCTCCACAGAAACTCTGGGAGCTTGCAAAACAGGTGAGCGAGTTCCTGGTTTGGCGTCAGGTTGTTTGTCCGTTCGACAGAGACCGGCGAATCCTTCAGTACCTTGTCACAACACCCATTTTCACCGAAGACGGTCAGTATTCAGTCTCCCCTGCGTTGTGGAGATGTAAATCATACAAATGTTTGGTATAGTTTGTCAGCTTTAGGTAACAAACAAAGCCATTATTGTTTCTCTTATTGTTGCAGAGCTGCATCTGGCTTCGTATGAGAGTGAAGGACCAGAGAACAACATGGAGAAAGACAGTCGCAGGTCACTTCGGTAGGTGTAGACATATGTCCACACACCCACATATCCCAAACCTTATACTAATGCAAAAAAGGGCAATTTTTGAGTGTAATAACACTGGTTACTTATCTTGTGTATTTTAGATCTTCGCTTCTCCATCGAGAGAATCGGACCTAAGGCCAGGGATATCTCTGCTTTAAAGACTGAAAATTAATCAGGTGTCTTAAAGCTACAGGTTTCTCCGTTTTATAATATGGACACAGAAGATTCTTATGGCCACAGTTAAGATGTTGGACTTCAAACAAGCTGGGACCACATCCTGCCTATATTACTGTATTTGGGCTTTGAGATCACAAGGAGCACTCCACAGAACTCATTCCATAAAATTCATCCAGTGCCAAAGAAGCCCATTTTATGTTATTATTGTAACCTCTTTTCCAACAAGTCTTCATGGATTTAAATCATTTATGAAGCTAATGATTCTCAAGAAGAGCCTGGATCAGCTGTGCTGCTTCTGTAAAATCAGCTCTGTCCAAGGCGCTCAGAGAATATCAGACGACTGGCCAGAGGTCTGCAGACTGGGTTTATACCTCCAGCGGTTGCCACACTTTCCTCATATTGTGGATTGACTTACACGCTGAAGGGAAGGTTTCATCTCTAAACGAAGTCATCGTGGACCTAAATGAGTTTCAAAGCTACATTAACGCTCCTTGCCTGCAGATATCGTTGCTGAGGACCACAGAGATTTGAAATCTCAAAGGAAAGGACTGACTTGCATCGATTTGCGTTATAAATAACGGGCTAACAGCTGCTTGTGGTATTGCTGCTTGTCTTGTTGGATGCCTCAGTTTTAATGCTAACACCTCGAGCAGAACCTGCACCACATCCACTCCATTAGCTCCCACTTTGCACTGTCATTTGATATCTTTGTGTAATGGAAGCTCATAATACGTGGCAGTACATCAGCAACATTATTCCAGTGTGCATTGACACGGTGCTTTTATCAACCACATGTTATTCAGTGCTAAGCATTTTGTGATGTGCACACTTTGACTCTGGTGGTGATACAAAACTGTGTAAGTGACAGCAACATAATAACCATGCAGACTACATTAAAATGCACTTCAGAGTGTTCTTGTGTAATATAGGCAACTTTCTATGCTATAGTATTAAGTCGTATTTTGTATCAGAAGGCTGAATTTTTTTTTTTTTATGTACTTTATTTGATGTTCTGCCAGGAGCTTGTTTTTTGGCTGGTTTTGTGTTGTTAAGCTATCAAACACCAGTTTACATATTAAAAAAAAACACTATTATGAGTGCAAACTGATGTGTGTGTGTGTGTGTGTGTACAGAAACAGGATTTTTATTCTTCTCATCTCAGCTGTGTTGATGTGTGTGTGATCCACTTGTGAGTGCTGTGTTTTATGTCATTTTATTTGTCATATATGCTACTTTTTTGTGTATCTTTTGTGTCATCAGTCAGGGTACTTGTACTGAAGGTCTTTGTGTAAAGAGAATGATCTATTTTCTTTCAAATAAAAGAATCATGAAAACACTGTGCTCCTTTTCTTGACCCAGGCTTTCAGCTTTGGGCTCTACATATAAGAGGTTGCTGATGCATCTTTGACTGTTCACCCTGATAAAATAGATCAGCTGAGCACCACGTAGTCCAACCAGGACATTATCAGAACAAGAGTGAGCAGGCGTATAAAGATTAGAAGAACTAAATAAAACAGGACTGCATCTGCAACTAAAGCAAGTGCAATGCTGCAAAAATCATTAATCTGGTGATTTGACCATCACAAGTTGTGTAAAACAAGTAAATTAATTCAATATATTTCTTTTTACTACTCATACATGCAAACATGGGATGGTGTGGTGGTACAGTGGTTAGCAGTGTTGCCTTGTAGCAGAGAGATATGTAATTTAATTACACCATGTGCCTGTGTAACATTCCTCCCACAGCACAAAGACATGCGTGCAGTTTGAAATACTGGTATGAATGGCTTAATGTCTGTGTTAGCCCTCGGACAGACTGGCTACTTCACCCTGCCGTTAGCTGTATGACAGCTAGTGCATGCTCCTGCTACCCTAAATGGCTGGTTGTTTCAATATTACAGGATGCATGGAGACTCCTTTAGTTTGGGTTTTCTTAGTAAAACACAGATTACAAATAGTAGGGTTAATCAATTTGTGTTCTAGTAGCTTTAATTTTAGTGTTGTACGAACACCTTGCAGCATATAAGGACAAAACATTAAAAAAAAAAAAAAACTCTGCAGCCGAATACAAATTCTGGTGACAATGTCAGGCACAATGTCAGGTAAAAAGCCAACTGTGACACCACAATATACATAAAGAGGTTTATTTACAATACACAGCAATTCTTCATGTTGGATCGCACATGTTTGTCATCTTTGGCAAAACTGGCAGGAAAACGGGAAAACTGAGCCTCGTGTTTGAACATCAGTGATTCTGAACTCTGGTGAAGTTGATGCAGCGGCCCTGGAGAAAACAAAGGAGACACGCCATAGTCCGATTTAAACATTTAACCGCAGTCAAGTGGGAATGTAAAGTGATTTTAAATTCAACATGCTGTAAAAAAGCACAACTTATCCCACCCAAGCCTTGATGCACCACTAAAGACAAAAACTGCTTTAAAATAAAGTGGAATACTCTACAATAAACCTTTCATAACACATCTATTATTAAGCTCTAAGCCCACTGAGAGGTTTTTAAAAGCGTGAACTCAAAGCCCCCCAAAATTTATGATGAAAAGGCCCAATTTGCTTCCCCAGCAGCTCAGCTGACAGAGGATCGATACAGTAAATCCACGTGAAGTCTCAAAATAAGACTTAAACTAAACCATTAAGCAGCCTGTAGCTCATGTGCGCTGTTTCATGACACACTCTGGAGGCGTTGGCATTTAAACTGTTATTTATAACAAGCGAGTTGATACAGCAAGCTGTTATCTATCTGTTGTGCACATAAAAAAAAATTAAAAAAAAAAACCAGCAAGATTGGCACTATATTATTATTATCTGTTATCTAATCAAATCACTGGGGGATCAAGAGGGTGGATCACTGATCTAACCAATTTGATGGTTGAATATTTTTGACAAAACTCACAGACTGGTGACAGTCCAGCTGGATGTAATGAGATTTTTTTATATGATAACATGCTGAATTGATAGCCGTGTTTCTCGTAAGCTTTTTTAATAATGCTGCTGATATTTCTTGCCTTGTCCTGAGGTGTTGGCCTCATGATTGCCACTCTGTCATATTGTCTTCTCAGTAACGCCAGCAGCGCATCAATACGTCCCTGAAGGCAAAGTCAGTCAAAAACATTACAAAACAGGCAACTTACAAAGGACCTAAATATTAAAGAGATTGTTATCTCACTTTGATGGGGGTGTACCATTTGGAGTGCGATGAGGGGTTGTAGACCGGAGGAGGCCTTGGTGGGGGTCGAGGAATGATGGGCTCCTCCACTTCCTCTGGCATAGTGACCACAGCATTTCTGGCCTTCTCTAGCCGGGATCCCTCCTCTGTGGACCCCTTCTGGCCCCAGCGCACCTGCAACATGTGGGCACAACTGACTGAGACAGCTAACAATACTGCATCTTCACTATAGCAACATTAGCAAATCAACAACACAAGCTTAGCAGTAAAACCTTTTTCTTTTCTTCTTTTTTTTTTAAAAATTTACCTCCATGCGTTTGATCCCTCCAGCACCCCTGCCGCCGTAGTATGAAGCATCCACTGTAGGCCACCTGTGTTTGGGCAAAGGGTCTTCTTCTGGCTCCTTAAACAAAGTTTTTTTTTAAATATTTGAATAAAGTTTTATTATATTCAAAATTATATAGTACTATTCTAAAATGTTCCTTTGCTAAATACTTTATATTGAGCTAAAGAGCGACAGTGTAGCCACTGGGAAAAAAAAAAAACAAAAAACAAAACTGCCGACCATGAGACAAAATTTTAGGTTAGTATCTTGAAATTTCGCCTTAATAACTCAGAAATACTCAGAAGTTTGAGAAATAAAACTTGAAATTTTGAGTACATACAAGATAATATAATTTTTTTGATAATAACTCCAAATTTGGACTTAAATCTACCTGCATGATAAATTTCTTCACAAAATTCACACAGGAAAACGTTTATGCCACCATGGTTGAAAATGATTGGATTAGATGAAGTACATGAATGTAGTCAGTAGATGCTTATCCACAAAGAGAGCCTGAAGACTTATATGTAATAAGCATAAAAGCTTCGTTGTAATAAGTACTTCCATTTTTTTTTTTTTAATCAAGCAATTAAAAACAGAGAGAGAAAGGTTTTGTGTTGCTGATCAGTCTATAATCTATAGATCCAGTGGATTTACACCAAAGGTTCAGCTGCAGTGGTGGGATATTTGTCATGCAAAAACATAACTGCATTTTCTAATTTATTTATTTTACAATGAGAGAACTTTGCCTTCTGACTCATGCTCGATGAATAAAATCTGCCACCAAACCACTTCTGTTGGCTCCTTCTCCCCAGCTCCACCTACGCTCCTTCTGTATTTGCCCAAAATTGGATTTTCTCACTGCTTTTACTGCCAAAATGGCAACGGGTGGTAAAAAAAAATCAAAGCGTCCCTTCAGTGATATGAAGTCCTTGGAAAAAGAAAATATGGCTTTAAAAAAAACAGTCAGTGGAGTACTCACAATCACAGGGGGTGGAGGAGGGGGGCGAGAGGGAGGGGGGTCTCTGATGACCTGCGAGAAACGAAACAAAAATATTATACACAACAATAATGGCATATATCTTTGACAGAAAGCAGACTGAAGTATCTGCTGAAAGATTTGCAGACTTTGTCACGGCGGGGTGCACCGGTGTGAAGATGAGGTAGACCCACGAGCAGACACGGTGGAGACAGAACTAGGTTTCCAAAAATAAAGCGAGCCTTTATTGTGGCTGATGGCATGACAAAAACACTAGAGACCACTGAAACTGGGAAAACTAAGGAGACTAAGAACACTGTGTAAACTAAAAAGACTATGACACTCTGTGAAAGAACCATGAAAAAACTATGAACACAGAGTAACTAGGCAGGCTGTGAAACACAGTGACACAATAACGGAAACTATGAAAATATGAGGTGAGGATAACAGACAATCTGACACTGACTGAGCAGAAACACACAGACTAAATAGACATAAGGAATGATCAAGGGAAGAGTCACATGGGGAAAACAGCTGACAACAATTAACATAATGACAGGACAGGGGACGTGAAGCTAAATACAATAAACATAAAACACAAGGCTCTTTCAAAATAAAATGGGAAACATGACGAGACCCAGACTTGACTCGAACTTGACAAACAAAGAAAACTTGGACATGAAACAAGACAGATAAACACACGAAGACTTAACATGACAATCTGACACATAAAACTTCACACAGGGATGAGACAGATGGGGATGTTGGGAATTGATAAATCATGAACTAAAACTGTAATCTAGGCATGACAGAATGTAACTAGATAAACTGAAATGAAACCAGACTGAAAAGAATAACAAAAACATCAAGAAACTCAGAATACTGGGTCACATGACCCAGGACCATGACAGACTTGTTAACACTGATGCCTGTTTATTTGTGTTTGGTGCTTATGGCCAAAACATACGAGACGTGTGTTTTGTGATTTATTCTTTATGCGACATCTCATCGCTGTGATCTTTTGCATTTAACCTGCCGAGGGACTGCAGATGCAAATGAGCTTTAAGCTTATTCAGTGCACCAAATAATAACATTTATGGTTATAGTGCACACGGCCCTTTTTCAAACTGGTACCTTTCACTTTACATTCATTGGACATTCAATTCCACAACATTTCATTCCGACTCAAACACTTCACTACATTTACTAGTTCCTGTGTCCTTTTGTATTTCTTTTTCTTTTTTTATATGCTGATGTGAAAACGACTGCCTTCAAAATGAGTTTTGTTGTACAAATATGCACAAGGACAAAGCTCACCACGGTGCAGCAGAGAGGCCAGAACCACCAGAGCAAACCCAGGCCCAGCAACAGCAACAAAGCCAACAGGAACGAGAGCACCCAGGTCCCATCTGACTTCAGAAAACACACAACACAACATTATTTGATCTTATTCTGTAATCTCTCATAGTTACGTCAGTATGCTCTCCTGTACCTACACAAAAAAGTGTTGTATCTAAATTAAATAACAGAGGGCAGTGTGACATCATGCATGCAGGTAACGCCTTCAAAACTGTTCGTGTTATACAGAATTAATGTTACTCACACATGTTGTGGCATAGATGCTCATGGGACTGTAGATGTAGGACTTTCCATGGTTTAAGCTGACCAGCACTTCAACTGATCTGTGAATAAACAGAATCACAGAACACATCATGAGATCTAGTCCCTGTTCAGAGCTCAGTGTGACACTATTGGCACTTTTGCAGTTAGAATCATAGTAAAACATGTGTGGGGTAGTCTCAAATGAAGCATGTAAATGCATTGATTTAAATATAATTATAGTGTCAAG